CTCCAATAATAACAAAACTATCCATCTTTCATAACACACAACAGAAGTGTCTTTAAAGCTATAACTCTAACTAAATCTATTTTGCAGATATTATTACATCCCGTATACAACATACCATAGATATTTTGATAGAATATTAAGTTCTTTAAAGCAAAATAATTTTTATACACTATAATTCAAATGCCTTTAAGGTCTTCAGGTGTTTGTAAAAATCGTAAGTAAATTTCCACTGTCATTTCCAAACCGCTTGGTGTACAGCCAAAATAGTTGGCATGCGTCTTGTTTGTGAATCATTCTATAATTATAATACAATATAATTAATCTACTACCATATTTCTATATTTGATTTTGCAAGATACGTTGTTTTGAAAATGATCATGTTTGAAATACAATGATTTAATTGGTAAAGGAATTGACTTTTCCCTAAAATGTTGGTATTGGAATCATAGGCCAGATAATGGTATAGATGTTTTATTGTAAATATATAACTTTCAATAATCTTTATATATTTAATAGAAATCATGAGAGAGACAATACATATTATATTATAAACTCTTAGCATTTTAAATGTAACTTTTAAAATGTCGACAATAAAACTGATAGTTATAAAGTAATTAAACTTAATAATTACGATCATTTTATTATTGTAATTATTAAATCTGTTTACTTTATAATTCACTAGATGGCACGGACATGTTACGTTAATAAATACAACTTAACCAAATCGATAAGTGTGAAGTTGTCTATTTCAGGAAACTAGATATTTGTCAAACTGATATACAAAAATGTATATTGTTTTCCTAAAAGTTTTTCATTTCCAAACCTATTAGGGATAGAGGAATTGACTGTTTGGTCTTAATACGTTTTATTTTAGGTAATAAAAAATATACTTGTGTTTGGTTATCTCGTGCCCATAGATAAAAAATGAGATCATTATAAAACAAAGAAGGTTGCAAGAGAGATAAAATTCATGTTTTTAGAGCATTTAAGATAATAGTATCAGTGTACACGGTGCTATATTAGCTATCTTTTTACATGTTTATGTTATCACAATAAAACAATGTACATACAGATAATTTAATCTCCGTGTGCACGTTTATGTTATCACAGTGTGAGAATGTGCAAACACAGTTATATTTGCTTTCTTTTTACATGTTTATGTTATCACATTGTTATAGTGTTCACACACCTAATTATATTTATGTATAGGTGTTTATGTTGTTATCATGTTTCAGTACTCTACTATTGCACTACAACGTTACGCAATTACAGACACAAATACACTGCAACGCCAGGTTGTACTGCTGTAATTTGCTATAATTCAACATTTACCATCAGCCATCACCGTGACTGCCGATCCGATGCTCGAAACCGAGCTTGGTGCTATAATTTAAACTACGGCATAAAGATTTCTGTTGTGGGAGACAGCCTAGACGTTTGTGTAACATGGCCGAAATCGATCATGCAGTGGTAAAAAAGACCTGCGATCCTGTCATCAGCTTCATGTTCGAAAGGTAAGAATCCTATACATAAACAAATGATACGCGGCATCAGTACTGTTGTAACAATAAGTTAATAATCGCTATGGTACATGTGTCATGTCTGCCATATAAACATTAAATTACATTCATGGCCTGCACGCAGCTATATACGTGTGCCTGTAGTAGATTATGAGGCTCTATATAAGCCACAGACTACATTAAAACGATTTGGTGTCAACGGTTATACAGCAGCCGTTATTTGCCAGTAATCAAATAAACTTAAAAATTATCCTAAACAATGCACAATTATACATTTAATAGTACTGCCCAGGTTTTATGACAATACTCCCAGCCATTTTTGCTGTAGGCTGGCGGACGAATATTAAACAATAATAAAAAAAACAACAAATAAGTGATCCCTATTATGATTAAAGTTTGAGACATTGTGCTGACTGTATTTCCTCAACCTTCAAATCCCTATTTTGGCTCCATATCTAAAAGCTGTAGAAGAGTCAAAATAGGGATTTGTAGCTTGAGAAAATGAAGTCAGCACTGTGTCTCAAACTTTACTCTTATTTGTTTACTTTTTTTGCGATTGCATTTTTCACTTTAAGCCATCTATCTTGTTTGTGTTTTTAGAAGAACCTTATTTCCCCTTTTTCAATTAACAATTTTTAATAATGTTGTAATATTACTCGTTGCCAGGGAAATCCTGTTACCTTTAGAGAAAGTGTTAAATTCTTGAAATATTATTTTCCTTATTGAGCAGAACTCACGGAATTTGGCAAGCAAGTTCGAAGGTCTCTTTCTTATCTCTCTTTGAAAAATGTAAACATTCACATTTTAATTTCCTAGCGTTTTATCTCGTTTTGAACTGACTGGTTTTAACAGCTGTATTTGCTGGTTGACAATGTAGAGATAATACCAATTACTCTTTCCAAAACAACTATCTAAATCTTCATATTGCAAGGAATTTCCCGTATTTCAGTGATCTATGCCAGAAAGTTCAGCTGTTCTACTGATTCATGTGCTCACTTTTCATGACATATGTTGTTTGTATTGTATCCTTTATATGATATCAACACGTTTAACAGAATCCGTTTCAGTCTCAACTTATATTGTACATACAGATTAAACAAAAGAAATTTACGGTATTTCACGAAGCTATCAATCTGTTTGGACAACTAGTGCTCCCGGTAGCAAGCGGTAAACTTGGGGACTTAAGACGTTAAACTTGTTTCCTGAATCAAAAGTCTAACATTTACTGACCACGATCATGGGCAGTTTTAGTGCACTAGTTGTTTCCTGAATCAAAAGTCTAACATTTATTGACCACGATCATGGGCAGTTTTAGTGCACTAGTTGTTTCCTGAATCAGAAGTCTAACATTTGCTGACCACGATCTTAGACAGTTTTATAGACTTTTGATTCAGGAAACAACTAGTGCACTAAAACTGTATAAGATCGTGGTGAGTAAATGTTAGACTTTTGATTCAGGAAACAACTAGTGCACTAAAACTGTCTAAGATCGTGATCAATAAATGGATCGTGGTAGTAAATGATGGACAGTTTTAGTGCACTAGTTGTTTCCTGAATCAAAAGTCTAACATTTGCTGACCACGATCTTAGACAGTTTTAGTGCACTAGTTGTTTCCTGAATCAAAAGTGTAACATTTACTGACACGATCATGGACAGTTTTAGTGCACTAGTTGTTTCCTGAATCAAAAGTCTAACATTTGCTGACCACGACCTTAGACAGTTTTAATGCACTAGTTGTTTCCTGAATAATTTTAATAGTTCCGTAATTATTTTTTTTCTTTTGATTTTGATTAATTTTAGAACTATAATTTACATAGCGAGTTTAAATGTGCTTTTTTTTTATCAATTTCGAAAATTGCAGGAAAAAAAAACAGCTTTTGTTCCGGAATGATCTTTGTTACAGTTAATCTGCAACATTGTTGAGAATTAATTAATTCAACGCAATTGGAAATCAAACAATTAAATCCAATATACTTCAGCATTAGTTTCAAAACTTTTCTTTTTATATATACAGTACATATATATTTTTTACCAAAAGACGATGTCCATTTACGTCTTGTATATGCATGATACATTTTTCAAGTTTGAAAATTCATTAATATATATTTTATTACGCTGTTTTGTATAAAGTTTATTTTGAAAACGCTATGACATAACATATTGTTTTTATAAATCTCAACCAGCCTTGACAAATTAGTTGTGGGTTTGATTTGATTTATTACACATGAGTAAAACACAGATTTAAACATTGTTATAAAATTAGTCTGTAAATTGTAAAACATTTGTAAGAATGAATATATCATTTAGAATATAAGGCTGCAAAGGTGACTCATTTATTCGTCCTCGTGGGTTCAACACTTTCACCACCAGATGGCGTTCTCACACATAGCAGAATTGTAGATAACTGAGTCGATGATATGAATGACTCCATCATCACAAGGAATATCCGAAAGTAGGATATTAGATGGACCAAAATTCGCTAAAATCCCTATTAAAAAACATTACATGAACATACTTGAATTAGCTTCTCACTATTCAACCTAAAATATACACCAAGAAATTCTCATCATCAAAAATGTAGGTATAGTTCCAAGGCCCTCTTTCTATATGAATTTATTATCGAGTTTTATGTTTTTGAAAATTCCAATTTGCTACCATCTTTGTGGCTTTTCTGTTATATTCACAATAATTTACTCAACTGGTTCTTGAGGTAGACTCACCCTTTATGCCAAATTTGATCAAAATCAGTTGAAATCTTTTTGAGCTATAGAGAGGGTTTAGTACGCTATATTAAAACAGTTGCCAATATAAAGTCTCGATGGAACAATATGCATTAGGATTTCATTTTGACATTGTTTAGAGTTTTGTAGGTTGTATGATGCCACTGCCAGTTGATCGTCTTTGGGAAGAGTATGCAACAGCCCTTTCCGACGCAAAACATTCATACACTCAGATCATAAACATATGTTCAGATCGAAGATATAGAATATTCAAGACGGAAATATCCCTTGTATCTAATGTTATTGGAAAATAAAAGAGAATATAGATCAAGTTGAGGCCATACATAGAGTTTGTTTGTTCGTTGTTAAGCACAAAGCTACACAATGAACCATCTGTGCTATGCACACCCTGAGTATCGAAACCCAGTTTAGAGTTATAAGCCTTCTGACTTACCGCTGAGCCACTGGGGTCTAAGAAATATATCTGCAACAAGTCGTACTCCAGCTGTGGTAAGTAAAGTATAGCGCCTTGTAACAGATGAGAATTTACGAACACAAAGATCAGTGGTAAAAGCGTCCTCATGACCTTGTATCAGTACACAACATAATCTAGAAGAATCTAGAAAAGCGACACAAGTTGCTTCCACGACATATCTCACGCATACTTAAAGCAGCTGGAGAAAATGAAACTGGTATTCATGCTATCCCATATAAAGACAAACCGGTCAAGAAATCGGATGCAGCGCTTATGGATTTCTCTGCGGTCAGACTGTTGAAACAGACGCTGGCAAACAGTCGTCCTTGTATACTATATGCTTTATGCCTTACGATGGAGCTTTTGTAATAGAAACTACGTTGAAAGACTATTGTTGAGATACACGCTCGTCAGACATAGTTTGACTAAACGTGACGACATTGACCTTAACGATATGGTTAAGCCCTAAAATCGTTTTAATATAACGTATTTAACCTCTGAACTATTCACACATAACCAGGAGTAAAAATATCCCCCTCGTCGGGCGGAGAATGGTAATCATATAACTGATGATATAACCATAAAAACAACATTAAAAAGAAGCATACATTCTCTTGCTGCATAATTTGTTGGTCGAGAAAAAATCACGTATTTTTTGTATTAAAAAATGAGAAGTGAAATGCTTACTAATGTTTTCGTCAGTTTCATTGTGACTGTAAATTTCCCGAAGCTCACAAGGAACATTAGTGCCCTCTAAAGTCGTTAGAACCTGTCCTTCATATAAGTTGCTGCTGTAGAAGATTCCGGATATCACGTGACCACGAAGAACAACTGTGGGTTACAGGTTAGGTGAAGAAATCAGATTAAAATTGTTCTTTATACAACTCAGATACACAATACAACACGTAAAAAGTATTGAAACTTGTACTCAAACATCTAAAATATAGACAAGATAGAGATTATTTACCATGTACAAGAAAACTGTCCTGAACATTATTTCTGAGAAAAAAATATCAAAGTATTTCTCGTTAAAAGTGTATATTAACCATTTTAATTTTTGTTTTTGTTAAAACGACTTGATCCATGTTTTGAAGAGGTAAACCGAGAAGTGGATAAAGAAAATATTTACAAACATAATGCAACTGAAATTTGGAAGACAGTGAAACTTATGTCGAACATCGTGGTATTTTATTTACAAACATAATGCTACTGAAATTTTGAAGACAGTGAAACTTATGTCGAACATCGTGGTATTTTATTTACAGACATAATGCTACTGAAATTTTGAAGACAGTGAAACTTATGTCGAACATCGTGGTATTTTATTTACAGACGTAATGCTACTGAAATTTTGAAGACAGTGAAACTTATGTCGAACATCGTGGTATTTTATTTACAAACATAATGCTACTGAAATTTTGAAGACAGTGAACATAATTTAAATAGAAAATCTTAGTATTTTATTTTTCATAAGAAACTTACCCTTTAGTAGTTCTGGATTGTTTGACAGGGATTGGTTGGTAGTGTAAGGCAGTGAAAGAAAAGCCTCGTTCACGGGCGCAAATATAGTAAACAATTCTCCACCTGCAAATTTTCACCCAGTAGAATTAATATAAAGTTTAAAGCTATTTATAGCGACTTTAAGAAAATGGAAGATCTATTTAATTTCAATAACAAATTAAGCTCAAGTTTTTTTTATTGTTAACAAAACAAGAATACCCAGATATGAAACAAGTTGTTTGTTTTGTTACTAGAGGACTATCTGCGCTAGCCGTCCCAATTTAGAAGTGATAAGTCTGGAGGGAAGGCAGCTAGTCAACACCATTCACCGCCAACTCTTGGGCTACTCTTTTACCAAAGGTCCCCCAGTGGCACAGCAGTATGTCTGCGGACTTACAACGCTACAAACCGGGTTTCGATACCCGTTGTGGGCAGAGCACAGATAGCCCATTGTGTAGCTTTGTGTTTAACTACAAACAAACAAAACATTTACCAACGAAAAGAAGTGGGATTGACAGTCACAGGGTTGAAAGGGCAAGCATGTTCAATGAGGATATTCAAACCCGCATATTGCAAGTCGCGTGCTTTAATCATCAAACCATCTAAAGCAAAAAATGTTCAGTAAAATTTGAAAACATTAAATAATTTGACAGGTATACTGGGCGAGTACGATCCAATCATTAGTGTGCCGAACAATGGAGCTGAGGCTCGGTGGTTCGCGATCCTTAACCGCTAAAACAATCGCACTCCCCATTTTAGAGCCTTGGATGTATTTATATGAGTAACGATCAAATTCAATTATTCGATCAGATAAAAGCAGCTGTGATGTGGGTGAGCTTGACCAGCTGTTTTTCCTCTAGGCTATCGCTCACGTAGGTTTGCACGAAATCCAACAAACAAGCAAGACATGGATATCTAAGGCAAGATTCGCTCATGATTACTCTTTTGTTCAGAAGATGGCGCTGATATTTCTCTTGAAAATTAAACCTCTCTTAGAGGAAATTGATTGCAACCCAAATTCTCTGTCTTTAAAAGCTATACCAAAATTATCAATTTATGTTTGTGTGCTTTTTCAAAACCAATGTGATGAGAGGCAAACTTACGAATAACCCACATTTTTTTATCCTTACGTTTAAAAATGGATTGTAGACCGATATGGTAGATCCAGTAAGCCAGAATGGACAGGCTAGGACAGTTACTGATCGTGGTCCAGAGTGTTCCTGCAGGGATGGGATACATTAGCCTATTTACTACGTGGATAACACCATAGGAAAACTCTTTATCCCATGTTAATAGACAGCCACTGTTGATGCACTGTTAAAAGAAATTAGAAGAAGAATAAAACATAATAGAATCTAGTTCCTAAAAAAAAGTCGTGTTTTAACGCTAAACTGCTTTTTAAGAACTTTTTGTTCAGTCCAGTTTATTTTTGCTATATAAATGATACATCTTAACAGTCGTCAAGTTAAAAAAAAAGTATTTTGAGTAGTATTTTGAGATATTACTTTAAATTCTTCGTATTCGAAACGTGAAACTTTCAACCTACATCAGTTTCGCTTACGTAGATCTTTCCGCCTTGACATGAGTTAATAAAGGTGCCTGGTGAAAAACTGGTCGTCTTCACTCTACCAGGTAAGGCCATGTACTGTAGCATGCTTTTTAAAAACCCTCTGTTTCTTATCAAGAAGTTAGTAAGCCTTTGTGGTCCAGCAGGGAGGGCACTAAATGCTAGATCACTCGGCACAAAAATGGTCACGGCCCCTGGTGAAAGAAAATATATAAGAAATGATGAAACAAGCACAATAACTTTTTCATGACATTCTATATTTCGAAAGTAAAATGTGTCAAAGCTGCAGGCAGACACTAAATGCTTGTAATACAAACATTTCTTTTTAAAAGAGAGAGAGATGGTTCAAATAAGTGTAATGTAAGCTGCTTCTAGTAACTTTTCTATCTAGCGATAACCTGACTGTAGGTAGAAAAATATGATTTGATCGCGAAAACATAAAGTCCAAGTTTGACATGGAAGAAATACCACCGCAGGTTTTCCTCCTCTGTGAAATTCCTGGATAAAATAAAACAATTCATTAAACTTTTACGTAAAAGAAAAAAAAAGAAATATAAAGTACTTTCCTAAAACTACTAAACGTAAAGACTTTCAGTTTTTAATATTAAACAATATGAATGCACTGTTTTATAATTGAAACATTAAAAAATAAAATGGGGAATTAAGTAAACATTGCATTCAATAAATACTTTAAATTTAAAGGATTTTACATTAGAAAATGAGCTTTATTTAAAAAACTATAATTTTTTATTAACCGTGTGCATGTCTTACCATTGTGTTGGGTAGCCAGCTCTTCGTAGAAGTTCACAGCGTCAGTTGTTTTAAGGATTTCCAAAAAGGTTTTTGTATAAGTAAGCCTCTGCAGAACGTCCTGCACTGAGTTTCTCACCTGACAGGCGTAGCATTGATTCGGTTTCTTTAACCAGTAGTAGAAGTATGGTCGATAAGGAACACGATGGGTAAAGCCTCTGTAGCTCGATGGAGTATAACGTGGGTGAGCGTCAATCATAATGATCGATAGCACAGTCCACCAAGAGATCAGTAAAACAGGTATCATTTTCTGACGTATTAAGATATCAGTCTGCATTGTAGTTTAAATGAGCTTTTGTCGATCACACTTTTATATAAAATATAATGAAAATTCCCAACCTCAACAGCTTGTTCCTGTTCAAACAGTGTAACAGAATTCCTTATATAAAATATTATTGACTTCATTTAACGTGATTTAAGTTAATATGAAAAATAGAATTGCATTTAGCACTAACAATTTACAGGACATACAATGGAACTCCCTGGAACGAGTTTTAAAGTTGAAGTGAAATCTTGGACACTAGGGAATTTAAGTAAAAGTACGATTTGTCCTATACATTCAATCCCAGGAACATTTGGTTTGATCTCATTGGTGATTTGAAGAGTCTAATGACTACGACATAAGTGAAGTTTTTTCTTCTACGAAACAAAATATTTTCTATGAAGAATGTTTTGAACATATAATCACAGTTGATACGCTACACGTAATTTTTATGTTTTTTATCTATAAAAAAGTAAAACATTTCATCTAGAAGCAAGAAAGGGTTCGTTTAAACAGGTGCTGTTCTTGTTAGAGGGGGTTTTCCAGTCTTGTTTTGTATTTTAACACTATTCTTTCAGACTCTACAATCTTCCAGGAACAGAGCTACTATGATTAGTTCGTAGAATATCTCTATACTGAATATTCCATTTATATCAATACTTCTCTCTATCATTCTCTCTGTTGCTGTCTGTAATAGAACAAATCGGTCGCTTCAGCAATACAGTAATCTAGAAATATTAGTTATTTAGATTACAAGTTTCAAAACTATAAATATTTATAGCAACAAAATATATATCATCACAACATTTTCTTGAATATTGACAAAAAATGTTTACATCATAATGATATTCTGTGGAAGACTGAAGAAGAACTCTGTATATCACTACAATGTTTTAGGAAAGACGGGAGTAGAATACTGAATACTATATATCACAACCACAATGTTTCTTTAAAGACTGAAGAAGAACTCTGTATATCACTGCAATGTTTTAGGAAAGACGGGAGTAGAATACTATATATCACTACCACAATGTTTCTTTAAAGACTGAAGAAGAATACTTTGTATCACAACAGCAATATTTTGTGAAAGATGAAGGTAAAACACCTAGTAATATTCTACGGAGGACTGACATCGAAAACGATTATATTACAATAACGATATTCTGTAGAAAACTGAAGAAGCACAATGATATTTTGTAAGATATTCGGGTAGAGGACTTTATTTTGTAATAATTATTCTATGAAAGATGAAAGAAAAAATTTTAAGTCCTATTGAAAAAAACGACGTTCAATCTTTTTTTAAGTATCAGCAATATGTATTCTTATGTTACTTATGGAAACGTTAATCATATCCACTGTAAAAATCAAATAATTCTAACATTTTCTTTATATTGTAACAATCTTTGCTTTTATAATTCATAAGTCACCTCCTGATTACTGACAGGCGAACATCTGTTTAGCTTTTGGACATTATGACGTTACAAACAGAATAAAAAGTGAGATTAATGAAGTCAGGAAACTAAAGAGAAGATAGCCTAATTCGCAGGCTATCAGGGAACCAATAATCTCACGATCTACTCTTTATATATATATGTTTCAATTAATATTTTGATCACCAAGAAGCACAGTTGACAAATTAAGTCTACCTTGAAATTGGTGTTGATATTTTCAATGTGATCAAAAATTCATAATGTGTTCAGCGGCAGCGCAGATCGAATCTTGGACCTTCCAATCCGTTGAACGGCACACTTCTATTTAGACCACACCCAGTCCACTCTGAAATTAATGAACAGTTCTCAAAGATGAAGCAACTTGAACAAAAACACAAGAATAATCTTGCATAAATACGACATGTTTTCTAGCTTGTTAGTCCTAATTGTTTAGATGCACTACATTAGATACATTCGTTCAAACGGCTGTTTGTATAGTTAACAGCTAGCACAGACGAATCCAATTTAGTTTTGTTCAGTGGAAACTTAGAACAAGAATTCATTTAATTATTCTGATCGGTAGTTTTTGTTATTCTAGGCGAACTGTTCACCACATAAAATAATATTATTGTACTTTGTCCTATTATTAAATGCGGCATCAGGTGGCTCATGGGGGATTATAAGCTAAAAATCTAGTTTCTATACCAGCCGCAGACATATCACAGATAGCCCATTGTGTAGCTTCAAGCTTCTTAAAAAACCATGTTCGAAACAAACTTTGCATGGTAAGTAGTGCCACCTATTGGCATTTCTTTATAATATTAACTTTAGAATAAAATTTGTAATAGTGTACTATTTTGTACTTATATCGCAAATTGTCTGGTGATGTGACAATTAAAATTTTATCTCTAATTTGTGTTACAATATGTTTGCCATTTTACACTTTATAACATCACAGCATAGGGAAGAACAAGCTTACAATGAATGAAGAAAGAACGTAAACTACATATAATAAACAAAATTAGTCTACCTAGTAAAATATTGAAATATCGTTTACAAAAATAAATCGATTGCAGTTTAATTTTTAAATGTTTCTCTGTTTTAAGTTTTACAAGTTAAACTGTAGATTAAGCTATGTAAACAAACTATATTATCAAAATTTTTATAACAATGAAACAAAGTCGCAAGCACTAAAATGAAGTTGTTTTTTCGTTATAAAACCTAGTCATTATGTCATGTATATCACGCAAGTAGTTTTAGCATTTTTTCAAACGCATGTCCCTCACTGATTCCTTTAACAGCACTTTGTGCTTATTTGATTTCTAGCTAGTTTAATGTTTGTTTGAAGTTAAGCACAACGCTACACAATGGGCTATCTGTGCTCTGCCCGGTTTCATGCGTTTTAAATCCGCAGATATGCTGCTGTGCCATTCGGGGGCGCCAGTTTAATGACTGATAATCGTTATCGTTATAATAGATAGGAATGTTGTCATAAGCATGTTATTGTTGTTGTTTTAGCAAAAAGTTACACAGTGAGCTAGCTGCGATCCACTGCGGGAATCTGACTCCAAACTTAGCTAGCATTCTAAGTTTGTACTTATCGCTGACACACCGGGGGAGACTGTCATGAGGGATATACCAATTCACCAGGTATTTTGAAACTGACGTTGAGTTAGAGATTGTGGTCACTAAATCTAATGTTTTTCGTTTCCCATAACTGAAAATAAAGAGCTTAACATTGTTTTGTTGTAGGGGTAAAAAAAAACATGTACTGGAAGAAGCAGAAATGAATAGGCTGATATCATTGCGAGAGAAATGAGCAAATTCATAAAAATGTAGATGGAGAAAAATATTCAGAAAAAGTACGTATGGAAAGACGGAGAAGTACTGTCAGACTTCTGACAGTTTGTTCCGTTAACTTTGGTTTTTCACGAATTGCTGTACACGATATTGTGTTATTTTGTTATTACGGAGAAGTACATTTAGACAGGCATATATACAGGGTTGAATACTTTACATTAAAACTACATTGAATATGCAAATCAGCTAGTAACAAAGCAACCACAGCAATTATAATGTTGCGGTGGAATAGAACATATCAGAACTACATTTTGACATTGTTTCGTAGATAGTACTATTCCACCAAAAACTGAGCGCTTTTAGCGATGGTGTGAAACAATCGTTTTCAACACAAATTATGCATACACTCAGGTCGTAACTATTTGCTCAAATCGAAGATATGAAATTCCCAAGACAGGGATATCCATTATATTTAAAGACATTGGAAAATAAAAGAATATGGATCAACTTGGGTCACCAGGACCACCTAGAAAGAGATCTGCAACAAGTCATATCCCAACCGTGGTAAGCAAAGTAGGTGACGATCTATATACACAAAGGTTATTCAAAAAAACTGTCCACGTGTCTCAGGTAACAGTACGCAAATAATAAAGGAGGAGTTTCATCTAGAAAAGCAACACAAGTCACATGTACACAAATTGCTTACAATGAGACATCAATTCAACGTCACATACCTCAAAAGGGTGGATAATGAAATGGATATTAATGCTCTTCTTTACGAAAACGCTAGATGCAGCGCTTATAGATTTTTCTGTGATAGAAATATTGAAATGGGCACTAGGAAACTGTTGTTCATACACACTGTGTGGCTTATGGAAAGCATGCAGGTAAGAAGAGTGTGTTTTAGACATGGTGGCTTTATGCTAGAGACATTTAGAATTAAAAATACGACACAGGGCTATTGTCAAAACGGCGCGGTCGTCAGGTAAAGCCGAGTGGATGTAGTGGTATGAAATATAACGTCGTGGTGAGACTAAACAGTCTATTTAACATAGTGTACTCAACCTTTGTTTAGATATATGTAAATATGTGTTATTCGGGAGAAGTGTGAGTTTGCTTTCACCCATTGTCAAGGTTAAAAAATGAAGTCCACGTGATGAAACATGACATGAAAACAATGTATAATCTCCTCAGTAATAGGAGATCATCGCTAATTGCATTGTGTATCTTCAGTCTGTCAAATGGTTAGCAGTTTTGTCCTAAAAATTACTAAGCAATGAAACTATGGAAATAATTGTTCGTTTGTTTATAGTTACGCGCAAAGTACACGATGTGCTATCTGTGCTCTTCCTCCCACGAGTATCAAAACTCGGTTTATAGCATTGCAAGTCCGCAGACATACCGATGTGCCACTGGGGACTAGAGAAAGTGTAAGATATAAAAGACTGTTTAATGTAGGTAATATTATTGATTTATTGATTTTGCGTTTGTGATTCATTGATGTCGAGGATGTTTAGGTCTAGAAGGCCTAAATGCTAGACATATAAATGGCTGCGACCAGACGAGCGAAAAGAGAGTAAAAGTAAAGTCAGAGAAATGTTTGAAAAACGTAAAGTTAGCTGTCGTGGGAGTGAATGGCCTAATGGTTGATTAACAGTTTTGAAAGAGATAAGAAGAATAATTTATCTCATCAAAGGGTGTTCCAAACAAACTAATTCGACCCCCCCCCCCATGTGGACTTGGACAAAAGGCAAATGGATTATACATGGATACTATTGCGATAAAAATATAGAAAAGTAGTTCGGCTTGTCAACTGAATTCTAAAGTAATTGAATTGGCTTAAGTGGACTTTTGACAAGAAGAAGAGAACTGTATAATGTTTAAGATACAACTATGATCTCCATGGTGTAAAGAATTTTGTACATACATTTAACTTGATTCGAATAAATATATTGTTTTAAAATCAAGTGGTGTGTGTGCTGTTCATTTGTTGTCGAATTTATCGCCAAAAAGTCACAGACACATACTGTAGACTAATCCTTAGCCCAACACCCCCATATATTGACATTACTATGGATATTACTAAAAGTAAGGTCCCGACAAAAAGAAAAACACACAGCGATTTCAGTCTCTATACTGTTACGTATCTGCTTGTTTGATAATTTCCCGTAAAATTTCTTTCCGAGAAACTTCAGCGATACAAGTCCTTTCTTAATTAAAACTTGTTTATTCTTTTTCGTTACAAACTTTGTAATACACTTAATTTCCACAGTCACTTTAAACTTAACTACTTTTATAAACACGCTATAATTTACAGCGATTCACACACTTTATTTACGGTGCCTACTGCTCGCTTGACTCGATTATCTCAATTATTTCTCGTCAGTCTATCTCCGGCTTATATACTACAAAAGAGGGCGTCTAGCAAACGCTGGTACATTCGTGAGATTGCCCGCTAAGTCACGATCCTTCTAGAAACTCCAGCACGCATGCTCCCAGCATCGCGTAACTTCTGCTGTCATAACACTGCCCTTTCCCTAGTATTGTTCATCCCAAACAATAGCCACTTACATTAAACCAATAGATAATTAACAATAATTTGATTAAATGTACAGAATTTACAAACACAAAATTCAAATTCAACAAAGTATCTTAATTGTATGGGACATATCTTCTTCTGTACTGGTCTCCATCTCGTTGGCTTCTACTTCATGTGGAGTTCATCTGCTCCAGCAGAAAATGTCTTATTATCGGTAACAGTCACATCAGTGGTAGTAACTTCATTAAGGGCTTCACTGTTTCCCTTCTCAAAATCGGGTACAGTTTCTTCTTCAACAGTGGTTTTTTCAGGTGAAACGTCTTCAGTAGCGTCATTTGTTCCATTGTTCACTTCGTTCCAACTGAAATGCCCTGGACCATGATAATGCCAAAGCCTATTGGCATGCACCACCTTTGGCTTACCTCGCCGACCACATTTTATTCGGAAAGTCACGTCTGAGAGACGATCCACTATGTCATATGTGCCTTCCCATGGAGAGACAACTAAGGAGACTTCCCTTTGGTCTTCCTGGGATATT